CATTCAAGCATTAATGCAAACAAAACAAAAACCCAGAACACATAAAAAGAAAGGCAAACCGGCTTCAACAGAATATCGCTTGGGCAGTACAGCATTCACCCTGAAGACGTTGTGGAAAGAGATAAAAGACAGGATTCATCTCATTAGCATTCTTCTAAAGAGTAAACAGTAACCAAGCAAAAGAACAATATACTGTCTTGGGGCTGATGCTTTAAAACAATTATACTAGGCTTTCACTGGACAAGTGAACAATTTTAAAGCCTAATTATCATTGGATGTAATTAAAGATAAAACTACTTAAAAATATAATTATAGCTTGGGACATACTGTACAGTACCTGTTCTTTTAGTATAATTTACATGCATTACTAATAAAAAAATGTTGTGCCATATAATGGTACATGGGGCTTTCAACACAGAAAAACACATTGATTAGGATGGAGATGAGAGTGTTTGCCTTGTTCTTTACTCATACTGAATCTTACCTTGAACTAGAAATACAGATGAAATTCCTGGGTGCCTAGATTTCCACAAATTTTACCTTTTGCAAATGGACCAACCAACCATATCATGTTTAATATTGGTACATAATTAGACCAGGCGTATTCACATTCACATAACATTTTATTCAGTCACATTCCTTTACAAGTCATAAAAGTGTTCTAAACTTTGCTGATGAAAGTTACAAGCTGGAGGTCCTTGATGTTATCAATGCAACCCAAATACAATGAATAAAATGTTGCATAAATGTTCTTAGAATGATACATTAAAAAAACACTACAAATTACTCAATTGAACATCAGGGACATCAAAGCATACACTTTCTGATCTGCAGGAAGAGCTTAACAGCTGCCTTTGTATATATTCATTTCAAGTCACATTATAATTTATTATTTGGGCATTATTTTCTTGGTATGCACAAAAGGTGTAACTAAGCCGTTCTTTCTGGACCCTATGCAGACGACACAATCCGGGGATGAGTGAGGAAAACAAGGGGAAAAAAGCATGCGAGAGTCGGGAATGAAAAACAGGGGGGCGTGTCCATGGTGCACTGGTGTTCGGGGGAGGTGTGGCCGAGGCAAACAATCCAGAACTGAGTCCAAGGGAGAATCCAAGCGGAGGCAGAAGTCCAAAACCGGGCAGTCCATCCAAGACAAACAAGATTTAAAAACACACAGGGAGCAGGTTCAGTGGATGAGTAGAAAACAAGGAAGGGCTGGAGCGTCTTTAAGAGGACGGGTTTACGAACGTGACAAGAGGCAGGACCAGACTGGCATCCTTCCCTGTAGAACACATTAACTCCTGATCTGCAGTTGGATGAACTATTCTACAATATCTCTAAAACACAAGAACAGTTATGCTCTTATACACTTCATCAGCACAGGAGTTTACTGCAATTAGGCCTGTTAAGGATCTGGAAGTATCTAATACGTTTTATCTCTGGTCTTGCTCCCTTCCCCTGCCTATTATATGGGACACAGATTTGTGTTACTTGCATACAGTATGACACCTGAAGAAGGCTCCACGATCAAAACGTTGTGTTTTCTTTCTTCTCTTTTCAGCATGGAATAAACCTATTACTTGTTCCTTTGCAGGCAACGCATGCTGATGCATCTACCCACCTGAACGACTTGTACTGTATACAGTATGTTATACATCTACTGTAATTAAGAGAACCTTTACTCTTAAGGGATTAGGCCAATCTTGAGTTCTTGTCACACATACAATCACAGTCTCGTGAATGATGCTTCTTTCAAACTAGGGTCTGGACCAAACCAAAAATTGCACTGACCACCTATTTGTAGATTACATAATGCAAGGCGAAAAGCAAACAGAAATCAGGTGTCAAGTAAAGGACCACAGTCATGATCCACAACTGGCAGGTCCAGTCTGTATTTAATATTGGCCTAAGTTGGTACTAGTGGCAAAGGCTTTCAGAACCAATAATTGTAAGTGTACTTTGTAACAGCAATAAATTCCTGTTACAGCTCACAGCCCAAAGACGATGCTGTAAAATGCACTTTTCGATTTCCCAAACCCTTTCTCTACACAGAACTGCTTAAGTTACACTGTAATTCAACCTTTGAGATGTCCATTTAAGGAGAGAGGAAAGGATGAACAATATAGGAATTAAAAATAAAAGAGTAAATTAGCTTGCTTAATATTCCACTCTAGCTCCTTATTCCATTTCTACCTCCTGTTGATAGAAACTGACCTATCTGCCAGTCATGCATATGACATTGTCTCACTTGTAATAAAGAAGAGCTCTGAGGATCTGCTGATCTTGAGGCTTACTGTATAATTTCAGAGGAAAAAGTCAAGAAAACACCTTTTAACTGAAGTTAACTTAGAGGTCAAAAACCTCTCCTTAGCAGTGTTTTTGTCATTCAACCAAAAATGGTTCTCAACACAGAAAACTGCATTAATTAGGAAGGAGATGAAAGTGAATCCCTCCTTTTCACTCATATTAAAAGTTCAGCAACTTTTACACAAGAAACACAGATACAATTCCCACTTTCATAGCTTCTTAATGCATTTATTTTTTTTGCAAATGGGTCAACCAACCTGCAATTGGATATTCATCAATTCCCTTGGTTTAAACTGTAAAACAACCTTCTAGGTCATGTCACACCCTGGGCTGGCCTCACATGTGGGTGATATGGATGACTGTCCAGAGTACTGTGATCAAGGAAGTGTATAATATATGAAAAATAAAATCTTGGCTAAGGATTTAGATTATACCTGCCTCTCAGATATACAGTTTGTTTAGTTTAACATACCAAATGACAGAGCTGGTTAGGAGGATTGTACATATTAAGCAAAACTGGAGGTAAAAACCCTGTGTAGGAGACACAGCATTATGAAGTAATGTTTTTTCTTTGTGGCAAAATCATTACAATGACAGGTACCATATTTCAAATCCTCCTTCAAATCCAAAACAAAACACTAGTCACAGTTCTGGCTAGTGCCCATCAGTGGGTTGGCACCAAAATACAATTTTCCCTTTGGTTGGCACTGGACATAGCAATATACTGTATTATATAGTCTGTTTCATTGTACACAAATGCCATTAACTGCTATTGTATTTTGTTGGAGTACTGAGACAATATTGCCTGATGCAGATTCAAGAGAAATACCAGAGTTTTCAGCATTACTTAAATGGGAAAGCATTATTTTTATACAGTAGTGTAGTCTGTGACAGGCAAAATACAAACCCAATAGGTACATAACATTACATCAAAATGGTTCAAAGTGTTTTGTTACATATCTCAAACGTAGGCACTGCACATCATCATTCCTAAAGCCATAAGGCACATCTCAGCCAGTTCTTTTCAAGCTTCAGAGCACAGTACAAAGGACTTGTCTAGACTGACCCTTCAGTACTGCACAATTAAAGTCTGCACGCATCCCGCTTATAATATACTGTAAATGGAAATCAAATAGTATGACTGGTGCACTCTCTATTCTTTTCCTTCGTTTTTTTTTTAATACAAGACACTTCTTTTTATATGGGAAGAGATGTATAAATAATATCTTCTTTGATGGTACACTTCCCACAGTCATTGAAAATTGATAATGATACGGAAATGTGTCAAAGCTTTTATTTAATGTGCTGATCTTTCTTTACGAGTTGAATTCAAATGCTAATCGATAAACGGGTACTTATAAATCCCCCCACAAAACGTCCTCCTCCCCGTTTACAAAATAACTCAAATACACCATAGTCTATGCTGTATTAAATAGACGCTCTCGGCTGCCAAGTAAGGAAATAATCATTTCATTAGTTTAATAAACCCTGATAAATTAAAATTTCAAACTGGTTCTTCGGAATAACTTGGATACCTTATTAATGACAGAGGAAACAGTAGTTCTAAATACGCGGGCTGTAGTAAATCTGTCCTTGGTTACATTAGTAATCTGTTTTGTCCTTTTGCAATCAAACTGTTCTGCAGTTATTGGATGATTATGCGTTAAGAGAATGCGAGAAGTATTACGGAATGTTGTACTTGGAAGTCTAGATTACAAACTCCAGGTGCAGGAAACTACAACTTCAATTGATATGATTTTAAAAAATATATTCAGATTTAAAAAAACAGTAATCAGCACACAAAATAGTCCTAACTCGCAATGAAATTAAATATAAAAGTGACATTTAAGGAGAAGACTAGTGTCCTGAAACCACAGATGAACCCAATAAGCTAAAAGATAAACCAGGTCAGCAAAGGAATCCACGTTTTTCAAACATCAATGCAATTGATAAAACATGCGAGCGCTCTCATGCAGATCCCGTTTTAAAGATGTAATGTCCACTTTCCTTAGACTGAAAAAAGTAAAGACGTCAACAAATAATACCTTAGTTATATAAAATCTAATTTCGGTGTTAAGAAGTTAGTTTATACAGGTAGCTCCAGCAACTTGTTCAACTTCTCATGACCACGTATCGTGAAGCTATAAGAGCGTAAACAAAACTGAAAGTTTCCATGTATTTTTAAAACTGTTAAAAAATGACATTGCATCTTTAACTATCGGAGCGCAACACGAAGGTTTGCACTTACCGGTTAGCTGGTCATAGGAACCGTCCAATTCTCTCGAATCAGACAAGCTCTGTTGCCTGTTTTTCGCCTTCATCGCTGACTTTTAACGCAAAACTAAACCAACAAGGATAACAGTGATAACTTTTAGTGATTCTTACAGCCTTGCCCCAAGGCACACCAAGTAAAGCTAATATCGCAACCACCGGAAAAAATAAAAATAATTTTCGTCTGAACTGCACTCTTCGGCTGTTGCTTTTCCCTCACTCTGCTTACCAAACGCGCTCCACGCACTTAATTGGTCGATGTCTTTATTCTTTTTCCAAAGCTCCAAGAAAGCTTCATAAAATCCCCAAATGATTAAAAAAAAACACTAAAGACGGCGGTCTACGTTATCCGACGAAACTGCATCCAGTCTGGACACTCAGTGATAGCCGGATTTTGCGGTGAGTACTGTCCTACAGGAAAGCCGACCTCCGCTATAACAGTGCGGGAATCATCAGCTCTTCGCAGGACGCAGACCGTCCTTTCTCAACCTCACCTCAGCTTTCAGGTGCGCATTACAATACTCTATATGACCGCCTCGAATCAATACCGTTTTAGGGAGCTTTCGATATTTCCAAAATTATCCCAAGTTCTACTGTCGTTTCGAATGCTGCGTGCGCTCGCTTGTCTTCTGAACGGGAAATACACAAACTGTTTTTCATCTGTACGGCTTTCACAACCAGTGGCTTTTAATAAAATGCATCAAAGAAAGCCACGGATTGGCACAGATCCAGGATGAACATTTTAAAGGAGTCTACCAAGATATTTTAATTACATTATCTATTGTAGTGTCCTCTTCGAGTTGTCCCTGGGCTCATTTTCTCCTATTCTTTTTAAAAGTGCCTTTGCTCAGTGCTTTCAAGAGAGGTAAATTCCAGGATTCGCTTCTCTAAACTGTGGCATTTACAGTAGATCCAAGAATATAATCTCTTTGCAACTGCTGGCTGGATCGTTTCTCTATCTCCCCTCTCTCTCATGTCAGTCACCCGTTCGATGTGGGTTTTCCCGTCACTTCTTGAAGTTACCACCCTGTTATTTCTCGTTTCGTCTTCAGTCGCTCACCTTGCTCTGGATTTGCCGGTGCTCGCACCCAAATATAATCAGTTGCGCTAAAAAAAAAGATCAAATACTAAAATAAGATATTGATGTTTCTTCGGTTATCTATACCGAGTCTTGCTCTTCCCACCCAGCGTTTCTGTAAAGTTCAGGGTGCCCGAAAACCATGAAGGAGGGATTTATCTGTGCTGAATAATATATTGGATGTGTGGCAATTTCTGGAGAGGTTGGAGAAGAGGCTATTTTAAGTAATGGTCTATAAAACAGTTTTTCTGCATAACCGCACTTGCTCTGGTCACTGTATGTACGGTGAGATTTGGGGAGAGGGTAAGCATTTATCACGCCAGACACTGGAAAAGCAGTCACGAGCGGAAGCCACGCTGTTACATAACAGGGCTCCAGCGCTGCGCTCACGGGTGCGCGCTGAGCGCGGGGTTCTCTCCTGCCTCATGCGAGACTGAACTCCTCACAGCCTTGTCCGTTCACATCCGCGAGTCTCGCACAGCGACTGTAGCACTGACGCTGTCGGGCTATTAAGTCTGTAAATATTATGTTATTAACTCTACGTCCACCATGCTCGTTATATTTTTGACTGAATATGGTAACTCGCTGCATTACACAATGTTTACCAACACAGTCCTGAGTGAATTCGCCTGGGAAGCACTGGCTCTGTGGTACTGATAAATGTCACAGGAGTTCTGTGGAGAGGACCCATGTCACAGAACCTGAGACAGCCACACGCGCAAGCATTCATATTATAAACTCTCCTTCCACGCAGAAGAAAAGCGTATGACACCAATAATAAAGTTGTAGCTCTTTAATCGTATTTATATTTCTGGCCAGGTCCTAGCAGGACCTTGAATTTACCAACAATCCATGTACTGTATGTGACACCTCAATGTACAGAATTCATCCAAACTCTCGATCTCCATTTCTCATGTTTTCCTTTGTCATTTTTCCAAACATTTTCTAACTGCTTTATGTAATACAGGGTCGCAGGGGAGCCAGTGCCTATCCTGGTGTCGTATGTAAGTCAGTCTCCCCTGGAAATCTGTATCGCTTCTCCGAAATGATCACACGCTCCACAAAACGTTCCAGGATATTTAATTATATACTGTACAGTAGGCAACTCCTGAGTGCATGTTTGCGCCTTTGCTTATTACGATATAGATAAAAAAAAAAGGATCCAGTTGTTTGTGTGTGTTTGTATCGGTTTCTCGGTGTATTTAATGCGTTTTTGCTAGGGATTAAAGTAATGTAAAAATGTTGCCACCACCAGTTGAATGAAAGCTAAAGGTATCTGTACTCGAGCCAGAGGACCCTCAAAGAAAGCTCACAAAGGCCATGTGCGTCTTTTGTCCTTGTTACATACAGTATCAATCATTTTATACTGTATATGGGCGTCCCTGAAATAACGGCGCGTGCGCATTGTTGGAGGTGGATACACATTTCCAAGGGATACTGAAATGGATACGACAGCGGAGCACCCGCAGGAAACCCACGCGAAAACGCGGGGAACATACAAACTCCACAGAGAGAGCGCCCCTGGTCCGCAATTGTACCCACGGCCCCAGCCCTGCGAGGCAGCAGAGTTAACCACTGAGCCACCATGCAACCCCCATATGAAGATGAAATGTATAAAATATTAGACATACACTATATTAAGTGAAATATAGTCATGCTGTTTAAAGAAGGTCCTGAAAATCGGATTCATCCTAAAACACATGGGGTGTAGTTTGTGAAAGACAGGTGCACGGACGGTTCTTTCATCCAGGCGAGTTAGTTTTTGAACATAAATCAAGGAGAAGGGCTATTTTAATTTCATTTCTTCCAGAAACTGGACCCTTCTAATGTCTGCCTCAATTTTATTTTAAATTTTTTTACTGCTTTTTACAGAAATAGACCCACCTCCAGCGAACACCAAAGCGTAATAATTAACAGCAAAGCGCAGTCGTGCAGAAAACGGGAGACATTGAGCGGATGTGCATTGCTTCTGTTAGGAGATTCAATCTTTGTACAAGTCACAGAAAGAGTTATTAATCAATTACGTACTGTATATAAAACTACACTGGTTACAAAACTACTGTATGTATTGTACCATTGTCTGTTTCAACTAACGTTTGCTCCCTTTACTTTACAGGTAAGAAGTCCACTATGGTTTTATTAACTCTTCTTAAAATAAATCAGACTACTGTAGCGGCTGCGGAGCACCGAGGGCAAGTACGAGTGCAGTGTGGGAATGGATCTGGCTCCTGTTCATGTCCCCTCTTGTCTTCCTCTTTGGACATACCGCTTCATGCCCGCCATACCGCTCATCTGTGCTGGTTAGAGTGCGTGGTGGAGCCCAAGTGTGAGCTGATCGGGTTAGGACGAAAGGAGGTCGCCGACACTCCTTCGCCGGTCTTCTCATTAATAGCAATGAGGTACAAATACCTGGCGAAACGCAGCGCAGCTGCTGCGCGGTTTCAGAGTCTGCCTCTGCGGAATCGGGGTGTTCTCGCGGGTTTCCTCCCACACGAGATTTACTCCGGTTTCCCCCTGTCATTACAACAGGTGTACTTGGCAAGCTTAACTGACGCCTCTAAATTCGCCCCACGCAACTCATTACCTACTACTGTATGGACTGGCACATTGTCCTACAGTAGATGAAGTCCCTCCTCTCCTGCCTGCTATTTGAGTCTCCAGCTCCCTGGGAGCCTTTACGACCAAAGGGATTATTTGAAATGAATGAATGGGGAAGTAAATGGACGCTTGTACAAGTACAAGCAAACAAGTACCGGGGACTCGATTCTCAACTCTCAAAATCCGGATTTTGCCCTTCGAACGTCATGTGCATAAATACTGCAAATTGGTCTTGTTCTTAAGAATGAAATAAAAATTCTAGTTTTAAAATGTGCTCTCCTTACACAAATGCGATTTGTACCCCTATATCCAAGGTGACATTGAAGACTGGCAAATCTTTTTTTTGTTGTTCGCGTGTGAATATTATCATACGTTACCAACTGTGAAAACCCACGCTTAAATGCGGTGAATTTCAGTGTACCACTCACGCTAATCAGTGCTGCTTGCATGGCACAAGCGCGTACACGCCAGGTAACCCAAAGTGCCAGTCAACTTAATTATCAGGTTCACACGGCCATTAGTTAAGCGAGTCTCAGGCCTGACAACGTTCAATTACCAAGTCAGTTTTTTTTTAAAAATAATACATAATTAAGTTGGTTCATGCGTGGAAAAAAGTAAGAAATTAAATGTCTACTTTTTAGCATGGAACGGGAAGTGTGGTGTTGCATTCATTATGGATTCGAGAAATATCGGGTTTTAGTCTAATTCCTGTTGGACTCGAAGGTGTAAAGATTTTGGAGACAAGGGTCACCAGTTTTTTTGTGTGTGTGGTTAGCCAGTAATGTGACTGCATAACTGATTAGCATGAATAACCACGGTTACTGGGAGAGAGAAATAGTACATAAATATGTATATTTCGCCTACTGGATATACGGTATAATTCATCTTTGCCCTGAGGTATTGACACTGCTGATATCCTGCAAAGTACAGTTGAAGTATGCTTATTTAGAGCTATATTTTACCCAACCACATAACCTCCTGTGATACATATGATCGTTTTTTTTTTCTTATTTGATGCAGCTCTGGAAAAAGGCTTGAATTTGTTGATTTTAAATCAGTCTAATCCTGTAAATTTAAAACAGAACATTAGTTATGCCCATATGGGCTTTGATATCTTGCCTGGCAAATATAAGTCATATAATGATGGCATTGAGTATATGGTAAGCAGAACATAATTGTGTCCAATTTACTGTCTGTGTCATACTTGCTCTTGACAGATTACCAGAAGACGCCTCCCAGAAACCATGGCAACAAAACCCTGCTGCTCCACCCTCCAATCAATCTGTTACCATAACAACATGAAGTGGTAGGAAGTCTGTCCCACCTGATGCTATTAACCCAGTACTTACCTTGTTTCTAAGACCTAATCTTCCCAATAGACTGACTCAGAGAGTCTTTGTTCCAGTTTCACACATGCTCTTGATGTTCCTGTCTTTGAACCTCACCTGCGTTTTTGGACTCCATTTTAAATGTTTGCCTCTACTCTGCTTAGTTATTTCTCTGGCCTTGGAACTGTCTGTGCCCTGGTTTTGCTCCTGGATTTTCTCAGTGTACTTTCACTACCTTGTTGGCAACAAACTCTACTTGATGTCTGACGGCAGCTTGGATTGTACTTTACCGATACCTGCCTGCCGGCTTTACCCTGCACCTGGGTTCTCCTGCACCACCTTCAAACTCTGCTCTCAGCCAGTAAGTGTCATGCGTATTACGGCAAGACAAAGAGATATACTGTAGTGCGCCCGGCAGGCCAACTTAAGTTTCACCAGTGTGATGAGTCTCCATCCAGGCACCGCAAGAAAGCCTGAATTAAAAGATGCTGTTAAAAGCATGACTGCACTGCTGTCTGTCTAGGTCTATGTGGACGTCCTGCCCATGCCTGCTGCTCTGGTCAGAATGTTTTTTAAATACCTCAGCCGCTCTCATGAGATTCTTCAGGTCCCTGTGGCTTTCTCACCCAATGTGAGAATTTCCTCTATGCAGCAGTCAGTTTCCCACCGATCAGAAGAAGGTGGCATGTATTGCATCCTTACTCGCTGGAGAAGCTCTAGCATGGGCAGCTGCGCTCTGGGAAAAAGGGGGGGGGGACCAACCCCCATCTGCAGAATTATTCAAGCTTTTAAATGCAAGTTCCTTCTTGTTTTTGATTTGCCTGGGAGTTCAGCTGATTCTGCACACCAGCTCCTTAAACTGCGACAAGGAAGTCCAGCTATGCCGCAGTTTGCTATTAGATTTCGAACTCTCTCGATTAGGAGTCCAGTGCCTGTGGGGAGGAAGCTCTTGCTGTCAGAGGAGCTGAAAGATTAGCTTTTCTGTAGAGACCTACTATTAGGCTGTTTGTCAGCCCAAAAGGCAAGAGGTGGACCCTATGCAGATCAAATGAAATCCAAAGTTTCTATAATTGTGGAAATCCAGAACTGGAATCTAGAGGCGAGCAAAAGTAAAAAAAAAAACAGGAGACAGATTAAGTATAAAGCACAAGGTCAGGAGATAGGCAGAAATCCAGAAATCCAGAAATCCAGAAATCCAGAAATCCAGAAATCCAGAAATCCAGAAATCCAGAAATCCAGAAATCCAGAAATCCAGAGTGAGTACAATGAAGGATGACTTGTAGAGCTCAACAGGTTGAAAACAATACTGAACAAGGTCTGGAGCCAGAGCAGGGTTTAAGTAGGCTTGGGGAGGGGAGTTTGGTGATATAATGACACTAGGCAAACCGGGATTGGCTAATGATGTCTGTTTTGAACTCTGCCGGTTCTGATTGGACGAGGTAGACACCAGAGGTTGAGATGCCTTCTGGTGGCGGGATGCTGGGACTGCAGCACCTACTCCCATGATTTGGAGTCATTACACTAGCTCCAAGGCTAAACATTTGCCTTCGTGAAATACGACAGGATAAAAATCATAATACCCCAGCAGAGCTTAAGACAGTCATTCACTTCACCAGCTGTCCATTCAGTTCTTCCTCTGCTGTGACAATATCTTCTGAGATGGAACCCATGCAAATTGGACAGGTCAGGCTTTCATCAACTGAGCAACAATGTTGCCATTTGCAAGGACTGTGCCTTTACTGTGGGTGCAAGAAACAGAACCTTCCTGGGGTTCCAGGTAAGCGCTGTGGCTCAGGGTGAGACGAGGAACTCTTGCTGAGCAGAGTCACGTCTCCTCTGTCCTTGCCTGGAACTACCCTCACCCCCCTTTATGGCTACTTGTTTGCTCTCTGGCCCCTGGAGACTCGAGTTATGAGTGAATACACTGAAGAGAATCTGTTGAAGGGGTTAATTTGCTCCTCATCTTTCCCTAACAGCGCTGGTTTGTTTTGTCGGGGCCAAAGCTGGCACAATCCTTCCTTACATTGATTAACAAGGGCTTATCTAGAATATTAAAAATTGCTCTCCTCTTCCTCTAATCCCCGATTAATTGGAGAAAGTCTGAGGGGGGCCTGCAAGACCTGAGGGGGGCCTGCAACTTGGTGCAGATCAGGGATGGTGGTCACTGGAAGGCTGCTTTCAACACCGGTGATTTTGAATATCTGTTTTTTGCCGTTTGGCCTGTATAAGGTCCCCTGCCTTATTTTGAGGATTTTGTCTCAATTGTCTTTTCAGATCTTCTTGACAGAAGTGGAGGTTTATATTGAGAACATTCTGGAGTCTTCCCACTCTTATCAGGAGTCCAGCATATCCAGCACATCAGACAGGTCGTTTTGCGTCTCAAGTAGCATCATCTTGGCTCTTAATCAGAAAAATGTGAATTTCATGTTTCTGTGGATACCTTTTGAGGTGGTCACATTTCTCCCAAGGGCCTACAATGGACTCCCCAGGAGAAAGTGGCAGTTTGACACTGGTCAACACCCACTACCCTGAAACAGGTATAGCGCTTCATGCGCTTTGCCAATTACCACAAATCTATCGGTAATCTCAGTTCTACAGTGGCTTTCTAAGAAGGCACCTGGGCAGGGTAAGTGGATTCCTGGGGCTCAGAGTGTCAGTGTCATTTTTGTGGCCTTAAGAATGTGGGCCTCTGAGGTGCTGGCTAAGTAACAGTTTATTTCAAAATTAAACCTGTAGTTAGTCTGTCCTTTCTTTAATGGGATGATTAAATATTTTTGTAACAAATCAAAAATTGACTTCTTATTGGAGTGCTTTTGTAAGTTTTTTACCTCATTAAAAATTAGGTCATTTCTAACTTCAAAATGTCCATAGAATTACACACTGTAGAATGTTTAAATACAACACCTACAACCAGAAAGCTTTTCCAGTTTCACTTTCCACTGGTATTTTTCCCTCCAAAGAGACACTTCTGCTCTATTACTCCCAGTTTTTACCAGCTGAGTCCAATTACCTTTTGCTTCCCTGAGTGTCTACTCCTGATTTCCATCAGATCCAAAATGACAGCTCCCTACAGAGCCCTCCCAAGGACATACCTCACAGACACCTTGTATTGTAAATGTTGCAACTGGTATGTGTCTTTGGTTAATGCTATCTTGTTAATAAACACTGTATTTGGTTATACTAGTCTACCTCTGATGTATTACTCTTTCACCAGAGCTGTGCCAGTGAATAAAGCACTTGCATACCTCAAATTATAGGTGCTGCTCAGATATACCTTTGACCTTTACCTTTAAAGTTTGACTATTTTCCAGTTTCACTTTGCTCTATTCCTGCTCTATTCTCTATTTTCTTTCCTGACAGCCCTATGAGTATGTATACCTTAATACTTATTAGAAGGACCAGGGAGGCAGAGAGAGGAAACTGTTTTTGTCAGGATCTGCGTCAGACCTGCCAAAGGAGTGATACAAGAAGGGACAAGACGAAGTATGGGCCTACAGCACGTGAAGGGCTTTTACACAACTGGTACACAACTAGAAATGCTGGATTGTCTGTCGCCAGTGCCCAAAGTATCAACTGTCACCCTGGAAGCAAGATGACTGTCAAGACTAATTATCCTAGGCAACAACTGAGCCAGTATGAGTAATCTGGACCAAATGTGCCATGTCAATTTTTGGTTTGTCTTCAATTATCCTCAGCAGAGCCATTGAATCATGGCTGGACTGCAGACATGAGCCTACTGAATCACTGGGGCTTTATCCTCTTGCCCTGGGAAAAAAAAATCATCAAAGACAGAGTCATAGGACAGATTAATACATTTATAGTTTTTCAAATTATACGCAATATGAAAGTGCCGGACTATGTAAAGATGAATCAGGATTAAGGGATTGAATTTAAGGATGTCCCAAATCTCAATCACATGTTTCCCTAGTGGAAAGCACCAAAGCATGAACACAGAAAATAAAAATGCCCTTTCACCTTAGAACTTCAGAAGAACAGATGGGACAGGAAGGCAGGACGCTGGCATCTGTCACTCCCAGGACAGATACTTGGAGACCACTAGGATGGGTATCAAAGGCTTTTTCCACAACACAGAAGAATAATGCACAGCCAAACACATCACAGATCATGGACACATTCAAGTATATTTTGTTCTTTCTTCAGGGTAGGAAATCGGGAAAGTTTTACTAGTTTTCTAGATGATCATTCTCCTTAATGACATGGAACTGAAAAACAAGGCTGAAAAAGTAACAAGCTAATGTTCTTAAAAATGGTTAAAAAACGTGTTACTTGACACTTATCACCTTATGTTGCATTAAATGATACAACTGTAATTATTATTTTTATTGTTTACATCTTAAAGACTCTGTTTACATGGTGGCTCTGATGTCCTGTGTGATCTGTCTCCCCTGGTTTCCATTAGCCAATTGATTATGATGTGAAATGCTTATCATGTTTATGGTGCAGTGGTTAGTAGAGCTGTTCTCAGCATTGGAGCCCTGTCATTTCCTGGGATGCTCTCTGTGTGTTCATGCGGGTTTTCTCTGGGTGCTCCAGTCTTCTCCTGCAATCCAAAGACTTATTGGTAAGTAAATTGGCTTTTAGGAAAATTGAACCCAGCGTGAGTGAGTGTGTGTGTGTTTGTGTCTGTTCGCCCTGCGCTGGATTGACATCCTGTCCAGGCTGTAATCCTGCCTTGCAGCCGTGTCTTGCTGGGATGGCTCTGGCACCTCCATGGCCACATACTGGATAAAGTAATTAGAACATGAATGGATGGAACTGTCCCATTTCCAGAAAGCACCACCCAATTAAAACTGTCTTTTCACCTAGTAAAGAACTGCTGACATTTGTGTAAGAAGGAGTTAACTCAAGGCAATATTACTGAAAATGTCAGGAGTCAACACATACATCTTAGCTATTTTAAATGTGGTTGTACTCCCACTTAGTCAGTGTTCCACAGAGTTCTGTGACCAGACCTTTAGTATTTCGTATTTTCAGTACATGTTTCCTTTGAATGAGATCATTCACCACTATGGGTTTCAATGCTATGCTGATGACAATCAGATTTACTTGCACACTGTGGCAGGCTGGGGCAAAATAAACTGTAACTACAGTCAACATGCACTAGAGGCTGTTTAAGGCCTCTAATTTACTATAAATAGACACATTGGGTGATGGTTCCTTCACTGCACGTCTTGATGTCTTTGTGAGATTTAATGCGCTCAGGTATTTAGGTTGGGGCCCGTGACGCACACCAAATCAGAAACTACTGCTGCATGGCTACATGTAAATACGCATTTCATAGCACTTGTGCATGTGACAAATAAACTGATCTGGTCTGATATTCTTAAGCTCAACTGTGACAGGACTGAGGTTATGCTCCTAGACTCACAACACCTGTTTTGTAAAGCATGTGTCTCCAATGCTGCTGTCTCTGGTGCTGAAATAAAATTCCTGATGTCAGATAGAAACTTTGGTTTTACTTTTGACTCTGTATTATCAGTTGAAGTGCATCTAAGAAATATCATTTAAGGAATATGCTCCATTTTGTAGCATAACTCATTTAAAATCTTTCCTCTACTGATTATGAAATATTGATATCTGCCTTCGCTTACTCTAGATTAGACTACTGTAATGTATTATTGGGCTGCCCTATAAAGTAAGTTCCTAGACCTAAAAAGGATTGCATATGTCCAACTGCAGAATTCAGCCACCCATGTATTAAATAAAGGTTCTGTACAACATCACATAACCCATGACCTGGAGATTGCACATTCTCCCCGTAGAGTTTAGAGTGCACTTTAAGACTTTGTTCTCCGCCTATTTAGAAATGACTAGTCGAACTCCAGGTTATTTTATAGATTTTTTGCATGACTCCAATCCAGATCATAATCTGAGATCTGCTAATTCAGATTTGTGCAAACTCCAGCAATGAGCAACAGAGCCTTCTTACTCCCTGAAGACAGGCTCTACACAATGAGTGAGAGAGTCTTCTTACTCTCCTGAAGACCAGACTCCACACAGTGAGAGACAGAACCTTCCTTTTGTGCAATACTGCATAATTGTAACTCACTACCCAAATCCATTTAAAACTCTGCTGTTGTAGACATTTTACATTTTGCTCAAAGATGTGTCTTTTCAAAGGTCTTGGGCTTTGTAACTTTTAACGTGTGATTTAGTTCAGCTCTTACTTTTACTGAGTCAATTTGCTGTGCTTTTCTTTATATCTCTTTCCTTTTACTTTGGCCATGTGTGTTACGAGTGGCCAATTGTACAGCACTTCGAATTCCTTGAAAGGGCTCATAAATAAAATTGGATTATCATTATTTCTAATATTGCCTATAGGTTCTAGAGAATGATAATTCTCTACCAGGCAGCAACAAGTCAGCCAGATGCCAGCCCGGAGGACACTCTTCCACATGAGTGGGCATCTTGAAAGAGAGGGTGCTGGACTTTCAAATTTAAAAGCTCAAAAGGATGTGAGACTGAAAAGCAAAAATTACAGCAACATAAACAGCTGTAGCTGCCTGTAGTGAAATATGCCTTGGTCTTTCTCAAATGCCATGCACACATTTAAAAAACTGCTGAAAACAGTAAAGGCACTACATTGAAAATTACCTAGTGAGTGGACACTTTCAGGAAACGCCTACAATTTTCATACACCAAGAACAGCACTGGACAAACCAGACTGAAATACAGAGGTGGAATTTGGCAAAGAATGAAACCACCCCTATAGTTCAAATTTAACCCAGATGCCTTTCTGAAAAGTATAACCAGCTTCCCCCAAGAACAAGGGTTTTAATTATTACCTGAGTCCCATACCGTTAAAGTCACATCATTATTTTGATGACACTGAAATACTACGGAGGACCAGTTTTAAGCATCAGCTTGTTGTGTTATCAGGCAGTGTTATGATCATCTCATTTTGACAACCATGCTCCACCTGTTGCTACAGCAAAACCAATGGCAACATGACCATTATATCCAACAGTATATATAACAGTAAGGCTCGTCTCCACATGTAAGTCACTTCACATGTCTTTTTGCTGATCTGTGAACAGTGGCATTGAATGGCCAGTTATATGGCTAGATCTTAATTCACTCAGGATCTGATGATATGAGTGAGCTGGCTGTGCAGCTAAGAAGAGTGATCTGGCAGTGGCTTAGCGGATGGAAGTGTGGTTTGGTTCATATGGAATATCTCTGCCAGCCAACTGCCAGCCAACTATAAACAGTTTGAATGTAATTGTTCAAGCTAAGGGTGGACACACCACTACTGTCGTTTGAGTAGAGGTACGTGACTTCAGTACACTGTGTGACCCATGCTACACATGATCTGCGAGCTGCTGCAGGACAGAGAGTGAAAAGAGGCATCATTCATCAAGCAACGGAGGACGGAAAGAAAGGTGGGGTATAACAACGAGTGGGAGACTGGAGAGGGAGTTGTGTGATCCATCTAAGTATCATCAAGCAAGTGAGCAAGTTGGGCTAAAAGACGTTTTCTTATTTGTATCCTTTCTTAAGTGCTTATGAGGCCTTTAGGGCCTTGAACCAGCAAGGGCTGCTTAAGCACTGGTTGAGTGTCACGATCGCTAACCCCTCCTCTTAAGGGCGCTCCAGCCCTTCCTTGTTTTCTCCTATTGTCTGCACCTGTTCCCTATTCCCGTTAACCTTAAAAGCCAGACGTGGACTTCACTCCTGGTTCCTCATTGAATTCCGCTGCGTGAGAGCCCGGGGTCCTGCTGTGTCTGGCTCCGTTATGCTTTTAACTTTCTGTTCCTGATTCCCCTCGCCGGTTCCGACCTGGTTCCTGTTCCCACCGCCCTCGATGGATCGCCTGGCCATGGACTTCAGCCCTTGTTTCTGATTACCCGTTTGGATTTCCTATATGGATTGTTTGCCCCGGACTCACTTCCCCTGGACACCTGCACTCCTTGGACATGCCCCCTGGTCTCCATCCTTTCTCCTGCATGAATTTATTCCTACTGTGTCTTCACCAACTGGATTGTGTCGTCTGCATAGGGCCCGGAAAGAACTGCTACAGTACATGACATTGTGCTCTATAATTGTGGGTTCAAACCCAGGTCATGACAACTGTGACCAGGATTCCCCAAGCTGCAGTGCAGAACTAGGTGAGCAATGTCGAGGGTATGGTCGGATTAGTTATATTGTAGGAATTAGTAATCTCTCAACACAGCGACCCCTGGGGCTGCTGAGCTGCTTGGAGGCTTGTTGCCAGTAAGGGACTAGGCCTCTCCTCCAATCAGCTAAGAGCCTCCAGTGCTGGACTGTGCTGCCTGTGACGTGTTAAAAGGCTGCCTTCCCTTCCTCATCTTTCCTTTGTAGCTGCAAGCTGGATGTAAAAAACCAACAGATAGGGATTCCACATATACAGTAACAAGAAAAACAGACCAATCAAAATGTATTTTAAAAAAAGAATTGAACCAACAGAGACGGCAGGATCAGACAGGATGGAAGTGAAATCAATTTGCAGGGTATAGAGACACAACTCATTATTTAAAATTTCGATTTTTTAAAGTAATGCTTTCCAGGACAGGCTTTTGACAGGCTGCCCCAGAGGCCTACCTCATTGTGGGAGAGCTTGTGGGAGGCAGGTTTACCAGTGCAGCCGTAACAGTTATAACGTAATCCAAGCGATTCTTCAAAATGACATGATTAATCCTGTTTGAAATGCCTAGTCCCCCCTCCCTTCAGAGCTACAGTAAGCAAAACAGGGATGACTAAAAAAAATTGACAAGCAATTGCTTTGGAGCTTAAACAGTTTGCATGTACTTCAGTGCTATGGCAACCAGAATTTTATAATGAGATAAATAAATAAAGAGAATATTCAGTTCTAACAATAGTCAGCAAGGGGTCCCTGTCACTCCTCCCTGCTCTGAAGCTCTCTCATTTATTCCCTCAGAGCTGGGAACAACACAATTCCTCTCTCTCTCACGTTAGACATTCCTTCTTAAATGTCATTTTTTCTTTGACATGTCAGACTATACAAAAAATGAAATTACCAGCATTAATTCACAGCCCATATACAGTAAATGGAATTTAGAGTGCAGTACTGCTGTGCCCATGGGAAACATGCTAGTCATCGACTTGTACATGTACAATGTACAGTACCAGACAGAGTTACAGTTTGTGTTCTGTTCCTCTGTTTTACACTCACTTCTGTGCTGTGTATATTCTTTGTCAAGATACAATCCATACATTTAAACCACACAAACAAAACCAATTCAAATGAGAAACCTGGTGCAGTTAAATCTGCATTGAACAGGCTGCATTGAAGACACTTACAGTATTACAATTAAAAGTACTCACAATAGTGGAGTTTT